GGGCCGGGGGTGGGGCCTGGCGAGGGTCGGGGCCGCCGCCCACCTGCCGCCGCTCACCTCTAGGCTGTAGTTGCCGCGGATGGCGGTGAAATCGTCCAGGGCTTCGGCCGCGCTGCCCTCGTCCAGGTTCAGCTCCTGGCACAGGGCCTGCAGCGCCTCCCTGGCCGCGGCGACCACCGCCGCCCCCTCGGCTTGGGGCTCGTCCTCAAACATCCCCTCCGGCCCGACGGGCGGCGCGACCCGGCTTCGGGGTTGTCTTTTCCCTCCCGGCGAGCTACCCACAACCCCCCGCGACAAAGCGCGCGAAAATCGCCTGCTTGAGCTCGCCTTCCCTTCATCGTCTGCCTCCGCTTTTCTCCTCAAAAAGTCCCTTTTCTCCTCTGGAGCCCGCAGTAGCACCGCTCCGGGAATGGGATAAGAAGATGGACCTCAGACTCTAAAGAAGTCCTAGCTCGGGCCCTTGCGGGGCTGCCCCGGGGCACCGGCCCGCGGGGACGAACGCGAGGGAGCGGGCGGAAGGATCCGAGCCGGTGCTGAGGTCGCCGGGACTGTAGCTTACGACCCGCGCTCTCCACAGCCAGTCCCGTGGTGAGGGTAACTTAGGGCTACCTGTGGCGACTTCGTTCACTCCTGTGAGAAACGTTCTCCATGACACTAGTTTGTCAGCTCCCCGGCGCGCATTAAACCCGCTCTCATTAAGTTTTGACCCTTGATGAAGATGGGAGAGGAGCAGCCGAAAATGGCTCATTGATGTAGGAGCGCCACGTCGGAGGCTTCTGGCTCGCCAGAAAGGGATGGAGAGGCAAGGGAAAGTTTAGGTGACGCCTCTCAGCCTCGCCCTTTCTTAAGTCCCTGGATTCTGATACTGTCCCAGTAAGTAGCCATTTCAAGAGTAGAGAGATGGTCTTTGCGCTAACCTGAAACGTGTTTTTAAAACGTAATCTAGGACCGGACAGTTTCACCTAGAATCCCTCAGGAAATGCCTTTTGTCTTTAAAATGCAGAAAAATAAAACATTCAGATGCATCAGGTAATTCTTAACCTTGGAAATATCAAGCTAGTTCTCAGTCGGAGGAGGCTTTTCTCAGTATTCATCAAACTACATTTCTGAGAGATACACCTAAAAGTAGGTGACGCCTCCCACCCCCCACCCCACGACATCCACTTCATTGTCTCGATGGTACCTTCTCTGAAACTGTAGTGCTAATCGACCAGCTCTGCCTACTAAAATAATTAAATAGTGAGATAAACTTTTTGCCTTCACTGTATTCCCTAGTTTGGATTAGTTCTTGGCACTCAGAACTTAGTGTGGTGTATTTGAAACATTACAAAGTACCCTTGTCTAGATGAAGGAGTCATTAAAGAAAATGGAGATACCGAGGCAAGTTATGAAGGAATTCATATGCCCCACCAAAGCCTGGATGTTCTCCAAGCAGAGATTTGAATGTGTTAGTGATGATCAGTCGGTTTTGCACAAACTCTTCTAGCTGCAGCTATGGCTTCATGGATGGGATAAGATAAAGACTACCAAGTTTGGAGATAGTGGGGTGCTGTCTCACATGCTGGAAGGTGCCAGACTGGAAGGAATCTTTGGACTAAAATACAAGGGTACACTGCTGACAGGAGCCCTGTGCTCCCAATGTAACTTTTCCTGGGGAGAGGCAAACTTCTCCACATCCCAGAGAGACACATGGTAAGATCTAGGAAACAGTCCAACCTCGTCCAGCTTTAGTGAAACAGTGAGTCAGTTTACAGGGGTTACTTAGAGGAGGGAGCATGAGTGCAAAGACAGCTGTTCATCAAAAAGCCCATTCTGTCATGGATGACACCCTACAAAAGCCACATTCTTGGAACTCCCTGCACAACTAGTTGGCATCACCGCCAGCCTGAGTTTCCCTAGCAATTATTTAATGCATATATATAATAAATGTAGTATATTCCTGAGGAATGAATCTCGTGAGTCCTGTAAGTTTCTGAGCCTTTTAAGTCTTGTTTTCTCTCAGAGTCTTATGAGCCTCCTTCCAGGAGACAATGCTTCAATTCAGAAGAAATAGCTGCACATCACCCATTAACATAGGTTTTCATCTAGGCCAAGGTGTTAAAAGATTTTTGACTAGGATGGACCTTCAAGCAAAAGGACAAGCAAGGCTGGCTATAGTGTAGTTTCATAGTGGGTTCTTGTAGGAAGTGAATGAAATTACCTGGCGCGAGTGAGAAGGAAACACAGAACACGCAACAAACCAGTTTAGTTTACTAGAGGGGGCTTGTATAGGCCCAGGAAAGTCAGTGTGCAGAGAGAAAGATGGCACATCCAGCTTTTAAAAGCTGCCTAGCGCATGCACACAGTGGGTTGACGTGGCTATGTCATACGCAGATGGGGGGTCACGCATGCATGCAAGGGCTTAGCTGAGTCAAACGTGGATGATGTAATCCACCCCGCATGTGGGTCAAGTGCGGACCTTTAACATTCCCCCAAGCCATTAGGTACTTCTGCCTGAGGGCTTGTCTGCACATGCATGGCCCCTAAAACCCGGAAGTATCAGCCTTATGTGGCTGAAATCATTACAGTGGAGGCTCACTCTAAAGCAGGTTATCATAATGGAAGTTGTAGACTGTGACTATTTAAACTATTTGGAAAACAAAACAAAAATCTTTTTTCATTTAATACTTCAATAAAATACAATGGATTGGTTGACCAGACCTTATAACTCTATGAAGTCTATTGCTGAAATGACAAATCTGGGCAGTAATATAATCCAAAAACTCTTAGAAGTCACCAGGTAATTGGAAGAGAAAGACCTGAGGACTTGCTTGTATATTTTTCTAGTTTTCAGGTGATGGTATTTGAAACTGCCTACAGATTCCTCTCCCTTTTAGTGTTCTGCCCTAGACACGTCAAGTTTTGTCCTAGAAATACCCACTACACCACTGGTGCTGAAATTGAAAAATATTTTTTTTGTGTGTTGGTTGGTGAAATAAAAAATGGCCTGTTAGTTGTTCTAGCAGCAGATGCGTGTATAATCTTTTTGAAGCCTGGGTGGTTTCATCTTGTTTAGAAGTAGAGAACAGAGTTGGCTGCACTTGTGTGGGCATCTGAAGTGGGGTGGGGTGGCAAGACTACTGACAATTCGGGTCCTAGCCCCCATAGATATACATTAACCTGGGCCTATTTTATGTATGTTCTTATTGTTTATCACCTTTTTACTGTTGGTTCACAAAGGGACATCTATGGTGATTGGAATAAGAATCATAGATTTGAATGCACGATTTGAAAGGATTAAAAGGATTAGGAGGTGTGGCCTTGTAGTAGGCATGGCCTTGTTGAAGGAAGTGTCACTTGGGAGCAGGTTTGAGATTTCAAAAGCCCATGAGAGGCCTAGGCATTCTCTCTCTCTCTCTCTCTCTCTCTCTCTCTCTCTCTCTCTTTCTCTCTCTAGCTACAGCTCAGGATGTAGCTCTCAGCTTCTAGTCCAGCACCTGCCTATATGATACCATGATGATAACAAACTAACCTCTGAAACTGTAAGCAAGCTCTTAAGTGCTTTCTTTCATAAGAGCTGCCTTGGTCATGTTTTCTCTTCAGAGCAAGAAAACAATGACTAAAACAACATTTTTTTCTGGATTTTTTTTTTTGTCTTGTTTTTTGAGACAGGATTTCTCTGTGAAACTGACTTGGCTGTCCTGGAACTCACTCTGTAGACCAGGCTAGCCTCAAATTCACAGAGATCCGTCTGCCTCTATTTCCCGAGTGCTGGGATTAAAGGCGTGCGACACCACTGCCCAGCTTTTCCTAAATTCTTAACTGTCCCTCTAATTTCTTTGTAGATCACTATCACTGAGATTTTTTTTTCCTTTTCTATACTTGTATTATTTCTGTTAAAACAAAAAGAGGGGGCAGTACTTCCCTCATAAACAATTATAGAATACATTATATATTATACATGTTTATATGTATTTTTATGCTGCTGATGACTAAACCCAGGGCCTTATACATGTTCTCTGTTACTAAGTTACATCACAGCCCTAATGGGAATGATCTTAAATCAGTACTTCCTTGGACAGATGAGCATAGAAACCATGGCCTGTTCAGGACTGCTTTGAGTTAGGGAAATCATCCCATGTTCTGGTGTTCACTATTCTTTAGAAATCGTAGAGTCTGCCCCTTTCCTTTCGATTTTGCAAATCTGAAGACTTGTTTTGTTTTCTTTTGGTTTGGTTTTTGGTTTTTCTTAGTCAGGGTTTCTCTGGAAGACCTGGTTCCTCCTAGAACTATCTCTGTAGCCCATGCAGGCCTCAAACTCAGAGATATGCCTGCTTCTGCCTCCTGAGTGATGGAATTAAAGGTGTGCGCCAAGACATTTTTGACCATCCCTCTCTTCTGTTTTGTCACTTTCCTCTGCTCTTAAGGAATATATATATATATTTTGTGGGGTTGAGCAGGACAGAAACTTTCATCTATAGATTTGGGAAACAAACAAAAAAGAAAAGAAAGAACAAAAGAAAGAAAGGAAGAAAGACAAAGCATGAGAGATATGGACTCAGGTATAAAAGGAAAGTCTTCATTCCCTGCCCTTACTCTAACTGACTTCCTTCTCTGTTCTGTTCAGTAATACTTAAAACTCTGTAAAGTTTCACAATTTGGGCTTCAGAGTCATATTCTGGAACTGTAACTTCATTAAGCCTTGCATTTTTGATCATTTACACATAGTAGTTAGTGCCTCAGATCCATCCCTATGAAAGAGATGGAGAAGCACAGAGAAAAGTTGGGGTGGGGTGGGGTAGGAAGGAAAATAAACCTAGCTATTATAATTTTACCTAGTATATGTTCTCTTTCTGGGCTGTTACCTGAGAGCTCCTCCCTATCCCCAGCCCTGTTTTTTATTTGTATAATAGTCTTTTAATGAGAGAAAAAAATTGTTTTGTAAAAGACTTAGTTTTAAGTGTGTGTGTGTTGGGGGGGGTTGCTCATGTGTGCATGCAGAAACACACACACACACACTCACAGAAGCCATAAAAGGGCATTGGGTCCCCAGGAGCTGGAGTTACAGATGGTTGTAAGCTGACCAACAGGGGTGCCGAAAGCCAAGCTAACTGTGGAGCCCAATCTCCAGCCTCTATTTGTTTTTGAAGCAGGGTCTAACACAGCCCAGGCTGATCCTGAGTGGAGTAAGCCATAATGCCCCACAAGAAGCTCTTATGAAATAGGTGTCCCAGTGAAGGGCAGGAAAGCAAAGCAGTTACTAAAAATGTGAGAATCAAAAATAGTAAAGACATGAGTGTATCAGTAATATAAAATGAACAATATATTTTAATATGTGGTATTAAAATGACATTGTACTGTTTTCAGTTTTTTTCAACATATGACAAAATTAAAGCCTAGACCCTTTGTTTCATACATTTTTTTAGAAAAATCAATAAAAACTACTAACCTGTTTCTAAGGATAGCTTTATATAAAAATAATAAAGCTATCTGGATTTAATAGACTTATTAGTATTATCACTATTAGGCACTTATAAAAGTTCCCAGGTTCTGAGATAGTTCAGTAAAAAGCAGTTCCATGTCTCTTAGAATGTACTTCAATGAATTTTAACTAACAAATATAAATAAAATAAGCATTTTTATGCTTGAGACCATCTGTTGGTGGCATTAGTCAAAAAATAAAATCTACCTGGAGGGAAAGGAACTACAGTACAAAATATGAGAAAGACAGGGGTCATTCAGTCTTGTTCTGGCACTAGAGATCTAAACTATATCCTCAGCTTAGCCTCTGTAGTCACAGTCCCCTTGCTTTTTTGAATTTGAAAAAGGAATTCATTTACTCCTTCTGTAACAGAGTCTTGCTCTGCCTGGCCTGGAATTAGTTATATAGATCAGGATAACCTTGAACTTGTGACAGTTCTCTCTCCTTTGCCTCACAAGTGCTGGGATACAGGCCTAAGATGCGAAGCCTGGCTTGTTCTCTCACTTTTTCAAATATGAAAATTTAGAAATGAGTATCTTTCCATCCCTACAGGTCTCTTTCTGCCCTGAGAATGGAAGAGTGCATGAAAAAAAGTTTCAAGAAAACCACCAGTTTTTATATAACTCCATTATCTTTACAGTACAGGATGGATGGATGTTCTCTGTGATCAAAATGTACAGCATGCTATCTTTAGGAAATAAGAGGTCAGCCCTGGAATTTGATTAAACACGGGAGGCTTAGTATTACTAAAAACATACTTGGTTGCATGAGGTTTTTTGGGAGCACAAATTCAGCAACTGAGATGGACTGTAGAGCAGATCTGTGTTTATTCCCATTTGCAAGAATGAGCAGATTGTAGATGAATACAGCAGACTAACCAAGGATGTAGGTGTAGGAGTCAGAATACTTGGATTATCCTCGCTTTGCCCTTTGCTAGTTGTGTGACCCAGAGCAACTTAATTTCATGTTTGTTTCCTCAGTTTCTCCATCTGCAAAACAAAGATAATAATGAAGCGAATAAAGAATTGAAAGGTAGCTGGGCAGTGGTGGCACATGTCTTTAATCCCAGCACTAGGGAAGCAGAGGCAGGCAGATCTCAGTGAGTTCAAGGCCAGCCTGGTCTACAGGGCTAGTTCTAGGACAGCCAAGGCTACACAGAGAAACCCGTCTCAAAAAAACAAAAACAAATAAAGAAACAAAGAACAATTAGAATTCATACTACAGGAGTCGAGGAGAATATGAGGGGTAAATGTAATTTAAATGTATGCTTAGTTAGCATTCCTTGCAGTTTTATATGTAGTGATTTAGCGAGTCTTGACTCTGACTCAGAGTGAATGTTCAATGTGACACTGTGATGTAGGATACCTGTGGCCCGCAGGCTATATATATGTTGGACATACCTGAATCCATCAGGCAACTAAGGTCTTCATTTTGAGCCTTCTGGAGCTACACCTAGTAGATTGCCTCATCCCACTCACTATGAACCATAGAGAAATTTGTTCCTAAAGACATCTCAGCAGAGAGATAGCAATGAAAATTGGAAAAGAAGGTGAATACAGATTCAGACGCTCACTCGACAACTCAAACAGTGCCGTTCACTGCTGGCTCTTCACCTGTCTTGTTGCATTTCTTTTCTCTCCATATCACCCAAGGGAATTCAGCTCTGGCTTTCTACTTAGGTTTTTTCACTAAGCACAAGACTAAGTTGGACTTAGTGCCTCATTTCTAGTATGCCCCTCGGGGATGTCCCACCCTTCCAGGTGCAGTTATTAAAGTATTTATTCAACATAAACTAATCTCTCTCTTTTGTAACGTGCATTGGTGTTTTGCCTTTATGTACTGTATATCTGTTTGAGGGTATCAGAGCTTGGAGTTACATACAGTTGTGAGCGGCCATGTTGGTGATGGGAATTGAACCCCCGTCCTTTGGATGAATAGTCAGTGCTCTTAACTCCTGAGTCATTTCTCCAGTCTAACTAATATGTTTCTTAGAAAAATTCATTTTCTGAGAACATTTTCTTCATTTAAATTTAAAGTGGGCAGTGGGTACTAAACAGATTCCACCTTAGAGCTACCAAGGGCCTGGCAGCAGTAGTTGGAGAAATTAGGAACATGGGGGGAAAGGAGTGGGGACTTTGTATATACTGGGATAGATTCAGCATTATAACCCTGTCAGAATTTTGTTATTGTTCACAGGCATCAAAAGGAATTGGAAGAAGAAAAGCCTTATGAGATTTTATAAAATATTAAGTATGAAAATGTAAAAATAGACTGGTATTTCTTGTCCTTAATCAATTAGCCTTGACAACAAAGCTAACAATACTAACACCACAACACTGACATTTATTTGGAATTTTTATTTTGTCGTTTCTGTTGTTACTTAAGGATTATTTTGTTTTCATACAAAGTTTTACTATGTAGCCTTGACTGGCCAGGGAATTTGCTATATAGACCAGGCTGGCCTGGAACGCTCAGTGATATGCCTGTCTCTGCCTCCTGAGTGCTGGGATTAAAGGTGGCTGCATAAGTCTTGTTTTTTTGGGGGGGGTGGTTTAAGATTGATTTATTTATTTATACAGTATCCTGCCTGTAGGCCAGAAGAGAGCACCAGATCTCATTATAGGTGGTTGCTGGGAATTGAATTTAGGACCTCTGGAAGAGCAGTCAGTGCTCTTAACCACTGAGTCATCTCTCCAGCTCCCAAGTCTTGTTTTTTGATAGAATATAACAGACTTGCATGAAGTAGAGACTGGTCTCAAACTCAAGAATGATCTTAAATACCTGATTCTCCTGCCTTAGGCTCCCAAGTGTTGGGGTTACACGCATGACTTGTTTGTTTTTGTGCACTGAACCCAGGACCTCTCTCTTGCTGTGCATGCACACTCCTACTCTTCCATTGATTTATGTCCCTGGCCCTGGAATATCCCCCCCAAAACCCCACCCCACCCTCTGTCTCTCTAAAGCAGTGAGCAGCACTTAAACTTTGTGAATGTCTGCATGACTCAAACTCACAACAGTTTTTACTGTATCTTCAAATTTAAACCAAGAACGTAACATATTTTAACTACTAGGATGTTTTTTAAGCGGGGATAATGTTGGAGGTAACTAAGTGCATAGTAGCTTCATGCTAGGGTTGCCTAAGTCTGAAAGAAAAACAGAATACAGGCTGGCAAGATCAACTTAATGGGTAAACATATTTTCTACAAAAGCCTAACAGCCTATGTTTGATCCTTGGGATGCTCCTTGCAGAAAGAGAGAACCAACTCCCACAAGTTGTCCTCTGACCTCCACACTACACACATTCATAGATACATCTGAAATATGGTAACATTTGAAAAAAGAAAGAAAATGGAGTATGTTTGTCACTTCTGTGGTTTCTGGAAGGATTCGTTCTTACCTGCGGTCATGTGTTTTACATTCTAACTATGAAGACAGCTGAAGAGCTTCCTCAACCTGCAGACTGCTTTCTGGGATTCTGGCTGACTCCCTACCCTCTGGATTCGGAACAGCGCCTGGGAGGCGATGATGCGCAAAGATGGTTCAGGGTCTTGTAACAGTTCTCTCAGGTCTACATGGAAGAAAACAAGACTGGAGGGTTCTAGAAACGAATACGGTCTAGATATCAGGTAGCCAACAAACCACAGTAGCTGAGATAAAAAGGCAACTTTTCCTGAAGCTGTCTGAAAGTCTGTCCATTGGTGAATTGATTCAATTTTGACCTGTAAAATCCACTGTTTTCTGAATTGCTAAGTATTTCATTCTTTTCGCAATAGCCATATTTTAAGTAGTCTGCCTAAAATAAAATTATCTGGGCCTGCCAAGTTCTGTCTAATGTTAACTCTTAACTTCCTGCTTTACTCTTAAAAGTTAACTCTTAAATCATTATTCCCTTGTAGTATTTTTCTTCTTTCTTTTCTTTCTTTATTTTTTGAGACAGTTTCTCGGTAGCTTTGGAGCCTGTCCTAGAACTTGCTCTGTAGACCAGGTTGGCCTTGAACTCAGAGAGGTCCGCCTGATTTGCCTCCTGATTAAAGGCTTGCACCACCATTGCCCAGCCTTTTTTTTTTTTTTCCTTAGAGACAAGGTCTTACTATGTACCTCTGGCTGTCCTAGAACCTCCTATTAAGAATAGTCTGGCCTCAAACTCATAAAGATCTACCTACCTCTGCCTCTCAAGTGCCAGGATTAAAGGCGTATGCCACTGTGCCTAGCTAGTATTTTGCAATTTCTTTGTCTTGGTGTTTGTTGTTGTTCGTTTGTTTGCTTTGTTTTTGAGGCAGGGTTTCTCGGTGTACCCTTGGCTGTACTGGACGTAGCTCTGTAGACCAGGCTGGCCTCACACTCTGTGGCTTTGGAGCCTGTCCTGGAACTAGCTCTTGTAGACCAGACTGGTCTCGAACTCACAGAGATCTGCCTGCCTCTGCCTCCCGAGTGCTGGGATTAAAGGTGTTTGCCACCACCGCTCAAGTGGGTATGATTCTACAACCTACGGATAATTGCTTTTTTTTAGAAAGTATGTCTTTTAATCCCAGCACTCGGGAGACAGCTCTGAGTTCGAGGTATGGTCTATTGATCAAGTTCCAGGACAGCCAGAACTACACAGAGAAACCATGTCTAGAAACAAACAAACAAAAAGTGTGTCTTCATGGTCTTTTTTTCTATACACTGTTTTGCTTTAATATTGTTGTTCAAATGGAACATTGTGATCCAAAAACTTTTTTCTTTTAAGACAGGGTCTTGGTATGACCTTGAACTCATTATCCTCCTGCCTCTACCTCCTGAGTTTAGGGGTATTGCTTGTCTTATGAAATAATATCTCATTATCTGAGTTACTCTTTGTGGAAATATAACTTTTGTTCCACAAGTGTTTTAGGTAAGAAATAAGTCAGTCATATAGTATCCTACTCCATAGTATAATTTACATGGCTTTCTTTTCTTCTTTTTTTTCATTATGTAGCCCAGTCTGGCCTCAAACTCACACTCTTTCTCCCCAGTCTCCCAAGTACTGGGTGTACATCACCAAGGCTGGCGGATTTTTGTTGCTGCTGTTGTTGTTTTAGAATGTCTTAATATCTATAAGAAATGGTAGAAGTTAGTGAGAAGCAGGTGATGAAACAGGGGATACAGAGATGGCTCTGTGTTTAAGAGTATTTGCTGCTCTTTCAAAGGACTTGGATTCAGTTCCCAGCACCCACATGGTTTATAACCTTGTACAACTCCAATTCCAGGGCATTCTGACAGCGGCAGGCACCAGGTATGCACGTGATACAAACACTTATATTCAGGCAAAACACTCCTACACATAAAACAAATATTAGGAAAATCAGCATTGTCTTCCTTATTTAAGTTTTATTCCCTACCTGTTTCAATAATTACTGTGTTTTTAAAAGTAGCAAATTGGGTCCTGCAGGATGATAGTGGAAGGATGATAGTGTAATTAAAAGTGGCATACACTTTTAATTACATCAATCAGGCAGTGGTAAGCAGATCTCTGTGAGTTTGAGGCTAGCCTGGTCTACAGAGTAAGTTCCAGGACAGCTAGGGCTGGACATAGAAACTCTATCTCAGAAAAAAGAAGAAGAAGAAGAAGAAGAAGAAGAAGAAGAAGAAGAAGAAGAAGAAGAAGAAGAGGAGGAGGAGGGGGAAGAGGAGGAGGAGGAGGAGGGGGAGGGAAGGAAGGAGGGAGGGAGGGAGAGAGGGAGGGAGGGAGAGAGAGGGAGGGAGGGAGGGAGGGAGAAGGAAAGAAAATGTAGTGAGTGAGTAAAGGCACTTGCCACCAAGCCTGACAAGCTGAGGTCTATCCCCACGACCTCATGGCTGAGGAAAAGAGTCACTCTTGCAGTTTGTCCTCTTACCGCCATACACGTACTAAGCAAACAAAAATATTTTAATTAAAAAAGCAAATTGTTTAGATTTTTAAATTGGTTATAAAAGTAGTGATTTTGGATTGAGGATGTGCATTTGCATTTCTTTATCTTTCCTAACTACCTTCCCCCCCAGCGCTAGGGATTGAACCCTAATGCTAAGCTACATCTGTACATATTAAACAAACATCTTACCATTAAACTATGTCTCCAGATTTACACAACTATTCTTAAATGGGCATGAGAGCTCTTTGAGCTCAATCTGCAGAGCTGTACAGTTACAGAAAATTTCACCCACTGACAGTTCTAAAAACAGTTCTGATGGTTGCCTTAGATGGCTATGAACGCATCCCTGTGCTAAATCCTACTCTATAGCACAGCTGCTCAGACAGTGGGGCAGTCTCTGAGGTTCACGTGAGACATCACCATAATTTGTTAAGACAGATTTCTAGAAAGATGAGGTTTTACTTTCTGACATAATTTAGGATTTCCCCTTAGATAGTCAGTAAAGCTGTTTCCAGACAGATAGGATCATATCCTTCCTAAGGGGTCTTAGATTTAGATGAGACCAAAATTTAATTGAATTATAGTCACTTGTGCTTTTATTGCTGCATAAGCCAAGAGTTTTAGATGCCAGACTCAGCTGTGCTACAGAGTCTGCCCGTAATCACAGAATCAGATACCTTCCAAAACAGTGAACTCAACATCCAAGCAATGTCATTACTTACCATTCTCTATCCAGTCAGTACCCTTCATCTTGAGCTCACTGGGATCCATATACTTTGATAAGAGCCCTAAACACAAGATGGTAAATCTTATTTTTATTATTTAATAATCTAAGCAGATAGCAGAATTAGTTTTTTTGTTAATAAGCCATATTCAAAACAAAGAAATTCCAGCCAGGCATTCTGACTCAACACTTGGGAAGCTCAGGCATGAGAACTGCCATGAGTTCCAAGGGAGCCTTGAGTACACAATGGAACTATCTCAAAGGCTAAGCCGAGCTGGGCGGTAGTGGTGCACACCTTTAATCCCAGCACTCTGGAGGCAGAGGCAGATGGATCTCTGAGTTCAATGTTAGCCTGGTCTACATATCAGTTTCAGACCAGCCAGAGCTACACAGTGAAAACCTGTTTCAAAAAATAAATAAATAATAAGGAACAAGAGCCAGCAAGATGGCTTAAAGGGCTAATATGCTTGCTCATGAACCTGAAAATCTGAGTTCAATTCCCAGACCCACGCAGTGGATGGAGAGCTGACTCCCACAAGCTCTTTGACCTCCACATATCCACCACATCACCTGCATGCACACATACACACACCCACAGAATAAATAAATAGTTTTAAATATTAAAATAAATTCTAGAGTGCCTTATAGTTATTTGTCAATAACATAGATCCTTCTTCTATGAAAGTAATTTCAAGGTCATCTACACATAGATCATGCCTGATACTATAAGTCTGGTTTGAAGTTTGTGGCTGGGGAGGTCAGGCCCTAGCAGAGAAGATAACAGTTTTGCTTTGCTAGATGGATTATTGTGGCCATCAAATTGTCTGATAAATACTTAGGTATACTTATACTCATAGATTAGTGGTGCTGTCAGCTTTGATCAGGGGTTTTTTAGTAGGTATCAGTTATTGAAGCAACTCAGGGTCAGAGTGCAGAGAATAAGAGACTATTTGGGTGTCGCCCTGAGGCATCTGTCTCCCAGCCCTGGGCTCAGGTAACACTGTAGAAGAGGGTGCTGAAGGAACGCATGAGTGGAAGGAACAGGTATGTTGTAGAATATCTTCTAGACATTACACTCACAAGCTCATAGCAGCTGTGATGGCCTGCATGAGGCCTGCACAAGACTGGGTCCAGTGACATTCTGTCACCAAGGACTTAGGAGTCCACACATACCCTTGAGGATTTCTAGGCAGTTAGAAAGGGGTTTGTATACCTCCATGAGGACCTACGGGCAGGTAATGGTTGCTGGGAGGGGCAACGTGAAGGAAGAAACATGTTCCTCAGTGGTAGTCACTTGTAAGTTACCCAGGCTCCTGTAAGTAGCCCTTTCCCATGCTCCTATGGTAATCCTAAGTAAATTCATTGAGTCATGAAAATACAAGACATGAAAGTAGGAGAGAGACTATTTGGGAAGAAGGGGATCAATGGGAATGGGTGAGGGATAAGAGGGTTATGGAGTGAATATGATTGCAATACATTCTATTTAAAGAAAAGAGGACACTTGACACAACATGGGAGGGTATAAGGTAGCTATACAAATGAAAGGGTTTTCTTTTACCTATAAACAAGACAGCTGTTCTTCTGATGGGAAGTTTTGGATCCCTGGAATACATTAGGGTTTGGTCTAGGATGTTTATTTTCCCCTTGCTTTTTTCTCCCTAAGTTGATGGGAAGAGTATATAACAAAGTAGCAAGTGAGTATGGCAGTTCCTGAATTGCTACAGTGACCATCACAGTGACTGCTTTGCCATGATAGAAGCCCCAGTAGTTAACTCCTCAGAATACCCACTGCACACACCTGTCCACGACACCTTTAAAGTCACTCTGGCTTCTCTGCACCTCTGTCTTCTCGCCTCTAAATGCCACCTGGAGCTTTAATTTCCCTACCAGCTCTTCCTGCCTAATCAACCCAGCTCTAAGTACTTGCAGGAGTCTTTTCTTGGCACATATTAGTTTCCACTTGGAGTTTCTATTTTAGTTTCTTAGAAGTTCAATATTGGATCCAGGTGGTTCTACTACAATCAGTTTCTAGAAAACTATGCATGGTCCTTCTAAAGCTACCCTGGATCATACAGGTTCTGCTGGGTTTGTAAAAAGAAGATGGCATCTGGGTCTCAGGGCTAGTGACATGCTGCCCTCTTCTTATTTTATGGTTTTTAAAAAAGAAAACAAACTATTTTTTTTTCATTTTACATACCAATCCCAGTTCCCACTCCCTCCCCTCCTCGCATTCCCTCTAGCTTTCCCCTCCCACCCACTCCCCCATCCTCAGAGAGGGTAAGGTGCATTGCTTTGGGAAAGGTCCAAGGCCCTCCCTACTATATCTAGGCTGAGCAAGGTGCTGCCTCTTCTTATAAGGCCACATACTATGGCAGTCCTTACTTAGGGACTAATGCTCTAATGGAAAATAAGACAATCTACTATATCAAGCAAAAGGCTAGAGTCGTGAAGACAATGCATAATTATTTCAATTTATCTCACATGGAAATTTGTTGTTACTTGGACAAAGTCTCATTATATAGCTCTGGCTACCCTGGAACGCTTGACTTGAATTTACAGAAATCCATCTACCTCCACATTCTGAGTACTGGGATTAAGATATGCACCACCAAGCCTAGCCCAAGTAAAAATTGTTGACTATATACTATCAGTCTGACCTTACAGCTTCTAATGCAATTAGTGGGGCTCTCTAGTTTAGCAATCACTTTGTTATTACTATTATGAAACAAGGTCTTACTCTATAGCTCAGCTTGCCCTCAAACTCACACAGACTCAGCCTCCTGAGTGACGTTATTACAGCTATGTGTCACCACACCTTGTACCACCAGTTTTTTGCATATGTGAAGAAATGTGTTAGTAGTGAATTTGTTAGCTGGTGAAATGGCCCAGTGGGTAAAGTGCTTGCTGTGCACTCAAATTTGATCCTTGGATCAAATTTGATCCCTGGATCCCAAATAACAAAAGCCAGGTGTGTAATTCCAGCACTCCTCAGTGAGATGGGAGATGGAGAAGGAGAAGCAGAAATGAAAGACCCTTCCTTTCAAGGCAAGGACTGACTCCTGAAAGTTGTCCACTGACCTCCACTTGCACACTGTGGCACACTCAATGTGTGTGCACATACACATAAAAATGTGTATTTGTGACTAATCAGAACTATAGAAAAGAGATCTACCTCTTGAACATGGAACATTAACTACTGCTGTGAAGGAGTGGGGTGGGAAATGTTTCCTGCATGTCATGTGTCTCCACTAAAAGCTATCAGAGGAAACAGAGCTACTACTTTGATGCGGGAGAATTGTCTGTATTCTGTCAATCATATCTTAATAAAACGCTGATTGGTCAGGCAGGCAGTATAGGTGGGAAAACCAGACAGGAAGTAGAGGTGATGCAATAAGAACAGGAGAATTCTGGGAAGCAGGGAGATTCCTCAGCGACTCCTGCACAGACCACCGAGAGGAAACATGTAAGCTGCCCAGCTAAAAAAGGTACTGAGCCATTATGGCTAACATAGATAATGATAAGGGATTAATATAAGTTACAAGGACCAATAATAAGCCTGACCTATTGGGCCAATCAGTTTATAATCTTATGGAGTCTTGTGTGTGATTTTCTTTGGGGTTTGCCGGCTGTGAAGTACCGGGCGGGACAGATACCCCAACAAGCGACTCATGTTACACTACTTCTCACATACAAAGAATTTGCAGAGCCTTCTAACTTCATTCGGTTTGATGTATAAGGGATCTTTGCAGTACACTTCCCGGGGCAGCTTCCATTTCAGGAACTGGGCACACAAAGTCAGGACTCGTCTACTCTCCTGTGGGGGGAAGAGTATAACAGGTCAGCATTTTCAGACCTTTTTTAACTGAGGGAAACTTTCTTTAGGAAAACTGACACCAAAGTCTAATGTGAAAGGTCAGTAATTTCAGAATTACTCTGAGTGAGGTGAGGAAAGGAATTAACTGGCTTTTTGTCTTCCTCCTGAAGACCCTAAAGGACTCATAAGCTTGCAAGGCGCCAACAAGGATGTAGAAACCACTTGTCTCTGTAGAGTGAGAATGAGCAGATATGGTACGCAGGTAAGATACACATTACATAGCCCAGGTTCTAGACAGGATTCCATTGTGCAAGTGGGACGCTTCTCTAGCTGTAGCGCTCAGAATGCCACTAAAGCACCTTTCAACACTGTTTATCTCAGGTCCACTAGATATCCGGGCCATAAATATCATTTTAAGATGGTGTGTGTCTTTAATCACAACACTTAGGAGATAAGGCAAGTGGGCAGATCTCTGAGTTAAAGGCCAGCCTGGTCTACATAGTCAGTTCCAGGCCATCTAGGGTTACACATGACACTTTGTCTCCAAACAAAAGCAACAACAAAAACCAAACACTTTGGGGATTGATAAGAATTAGTTCAGCTTCTTTGTGTAGCAATTTGTAGATATGTAGTATCTAATACAAATACCCACACTAGGGTTTTATGCCCTTTGGAAGTTCTCACATGCATACACTTAAGTGCTTGTTACAGCATTATTACCATGAAAACCAAACACTATCTAGTGTCTGGAATAGAAGAATGGGGTAAATTTTAGATTAAATGATGTAATTCCACAAAACACTGAAAAGAAATGATCTACACACTTACAATAAAATATCATAAATACAATGCTAAGCAAATATGCTGAGAGGTTTATGGAAATACACAACATAAAGTTTAAAACACGAAAAATAATCTCGGTGTGGTGGTGCACAACTATCATCCCAGCATTTGGAAGGCAAAGGCCAAGAGGACAGCAAATTCAAGGCCAGGTTGTCCTACATGATGAGACTGTCTTAAACACACACACACACACACACACTCACATTCACGCAGACAAGCCAGGCATTGATGGCACACACCTATAGTCCCAGCACTTAGGAAACAGGCAGGACAATCAGATCCATCCAGGATCAAGCCTTAGCTACAAAGTGAGTTTAGGATCAGCTTGACCTACTATAGACCCTATCCCAAACAAAAAACACAAAAGAGAGGTGAGGGAAAGGAAGGGAAGGAATTCCTTCCTTCAGGAATGACTAAAGTATGGATGACAGGTCTTGGGTGCTTCAGCTGGGAACAGGTGCATGACTTACTTGTTTCATTTCTTTGGTTCTGTCCTAACCCAGTCTAACACTCACCTCTTTGCTCAGACTCCTCTCTGAAGAACTTGACTTAGCTAGAAGTTATTCAAGTTTGCAGGAAAGTAAACGCAGAGCCTTGGTAGCTCTAAGCCTTTTCTGATTGCTAAAGGATGGCAGATTGGGGGGAAGTATCAATGTACCACCTACATGTGAGTCCCAAAGATATGCTTCCCATCAGCTGGTTGACAACGTCTGAGCTACACATACAGATGTCTGAAGTGCCCTTCAGCTAATCATCAGGCTAGGACAGAGGGAGCATAGGAACAAACAGGATGCTTTAGCTGGCTAACCAAAAACTGTCCACAAGATGCACCCCAAGGAGCAAGGATAGACATGGCCCTACAAAAGCCTCCTGCCTCATCAGCCTCCCAAGTAGCTGAGATTACAAATATATACCATTATGCCCAGTCTGAACAGACACAGTTAATACTAGGTGGCTTAAATGAAAAACCACAATTCTTACAGCAAAACCCTTGGAAGGCTTAGGAGAAATAAAGTCTTCAGTTGGTCCAGAGAGGTTACTCTCTAACTTAACTCCAACACATTCCATGTCTCCAGGCCATGGGGTAGCCATTGAAAGAAAAGAACATGTTTGTCATTAACACAGAGTTTGTTGAGTTGAGCATGATATTTCTTGCTCTGTGCTTGGCTACAAGGTGACAATACACAGTTTCTTCCCCACAAATAGTTTATTTTGCTACATAGAAATTAAGAGTTTGAGTTCCCGTAATTTACTCAGGGAAATGACTGAAATGTAGTTTTGTGCCAGAGGATGTAAGGAATAAGAATGTGACTGCAGTCTGTGTCCTCGAGGAGATAAACACTACTTGCAGAGTTAGATCTGAATTCAGTTATTCACGGCTGAAAAGAGACTGGTATTACCTGAGCTATTTCATCATTGTCATCCTGAGAAAACAGCAGCAATGGGACCAAGCTTTCCAGGACGTGGTTCTCCACACACTTCTTATCTGTGTGTTTCACAGCCTTTACGGCGGCTCCAAAGAGAGTCATGGACAAACGATGGATGCCGTGTCTCACCTTAGAATGGAGGATTCACAAGGAAACAGCTCAGCGAACATGCTCAGACTAGCTTATGAGAACTCTGGGGAGTCTGGCACATCAGTCTCAACATGGAGCTATCTAGCTGCATGGAGGAATCAACTATATAGGGAGATAGCAAGACTTGTGTTTGATACTCTTGTTTCTGAACTGTACAAGCAACAAATAGGTAGTTCCATTTGTTGCTGAAAATGCTTGCATTCAATCCTGGTATTAATCACTCACACGCTTTTTTGCTAAAATTCAAAACCCTAACTAGCATATACTAAGGATGCAGGTCAATGTACTTTATGTGTTTCTTTTAGAAAAATCTTTGTGATTTGGGACAAGGATATAAGTATAGTCCATCATTTTGACCCATTTCTTTCTCTTTTTTTCTTATGACCCATTTCTTACTGTTCCTTGTCCTACACAAACTCTTCCCCCACCCACAGAGCAAGGTAATGGCTTGGTAAATCTGTATGTCTCAAATTTTAGGGTGTTTTGTTTTATTTTGAGACAGGGTTTCTCTGTGTAGTCCTGGTCATCCTGGACCAGGCTGGCCTTGAACTCTGAGATTTGCCTGCTTCTGCCTCCCGAGTATGGGTATTAAAGGCATGTGCCAACACCACCCTGCTGTATCTCAAAATTTTTTAAGTTTGAAAAACTAATAACATCAGTCCAAAAAGAGGGACATCACAGATTATCTGGAAGGGTCTTGAAGAAGATCTAAAGGGCCTCTATAAATGAGAAAAAATCCATTATGAGGGTAAAATAAAATGGCCTTATTATAGTCTCGAAATCTACCAGCTGGTAGGTGCCCACCCACTAGGGAAGAATCTTTTCTCTCATTGTCTTACATCACCAAATAAGGAGAACAGGATCTTCATCATGGAAGCCAAGGTGGTAGAGTCTAGTGTCTTGACAAGCTGCATGAGTATCTGGATGGCCAACAAAACGATCCTCTCATCGGACTCATGTAAGCTATCTAAGATGCACGGTACCACACTTTTGATGTCTTCTCTCTGTGTGTCCAAAAGCAGCCATGACCTCTTCTCCCATAGCACATTCTCTTATTCTAAATGGAAGGATCCCACACTGACTTAAGTAACCCGCTGCTTGTGGTTTTCTGGTAACTCTGATGGTAGAGAGAGCATAAGAACTCTCTCTTTACTATTGGCATGCCTGGTATATAGAGGGGAAGGAGCTTCCGTGAATTGCTTCATAAACAGAGGGTTCCAGGTGGGGAAGGGACAGGGGTTATACCCTCAGCTTTACTTTAAGGAAAAGCTTTTCCAACACAGAAAAAAAGTGGAATGGCCAGCTCAGGCCACAGTGAGCTTTCCAGAATGGAAGTTATTCAGACATAGGCTTGAAAAACTACTTGGTAGGATCAGCAGGGTTGGACTGAGGATTCTTAAAAGCCCTCCCCATTCTAAACTCCTACAAGGAAGCAATCTCAGGATTTTAAAACATGTGTTTTAAAAAATATATATTCTTCCCAAGGGGCATCAACAAAGTCTAGCACATTGCTTTGAGGCAGGACCAGTGGATGGGAGGTAGGATGGGGGTGGGATGGGGGTGGGATGGGGGTGGGATGGGGGTAAGGTGGAGGAAGCAGAAGGAAAACAGGGAGTAGGAACAGGGATTGGTATGTAAAATGAGAAAAGATAATTTTTTAAAATAAATTATACACACACACACACACACACACAATACAATACAATAAACAAATGTTCATGCATCCAATTAGCCAGAGTTAGCATATACTAGTATTTGTCATTTTTGTTCCTTATATGTATGTATTTTTATATAAAATAAATAATCTCAGGTGGCAAAATTAAAGCCTCAGGGTTACTTCTGACTGAGGCATAGTTCTATTTCTTTCTTTTTTTGTTTTTGTTTGTTTCTTTGTTTGTTTGTTGTTTTTGTTTTATTTGAGACAGAGTTTCTTTGTGTAGACTTGGCTGTCCTGGAACTAGCTCTCTAGACCAGGCCTAGCCTCCAACTCACAGAGATCCTCCTGCTTCTACTTTCTGAGTGCTTTGATTAAAGTCATATGCCACCACAGCCCAGCTGAAGCATAGTTTTCTAATGAGACATGCAGAATACTTTCATTATGAATGCCAGTGATCTTTGTCTTGATGATAAAATCCTGGAGTATCCAAGTACTCCACAAGACAGCATGGTGTAAGGCATCAAGCAGGCAGCTGAATATTTTCTACTGTGTTGTAACAATAAGTGCACCTCTCCCACAAAATGCAAGTTTCGAAGTATTATATTTGTGACTCGGAATTTAAATGTTATTTAACTTTAATAGTTTCCACATAACTTCTAGGTATAAAATCAGAACGCTATAGATGGATGTACAGTGAGAAAGGTCTTCCCCCATTCATCCTGCCCCAGCACTTCCAGTTCCTCCTTCCTGAGTTTCTTGGGTATCTTTGGGGTTGTTCTATTTCTGTTTCCATTTATTATTATGTATCTATTATCTATTTATTGTATCTATTACAAGTACATCAATGATCAAAGGCCCTTTTACCATCTCTCGGTGTCTGACAAGGTTGCGTAGTCCCCTCAGTGCAAGAATCTTGAAGAGCTTATTCTCATCATACAGCCAGTCCTTCAAGCGGACAGTGGAGTATAACCTGGGCAATCTCTTAGCCACTGGACTCCTTAGGAGCTGAAAGAAATGACCTTGGAGCTCTTTTTCCTTGACGGGAGCTACCTTCCCACCAACTTCAATGTATACATTTTCTTTTGAAATCCCCAGCTGCTGCAGAGTGATGCTGGGGCAGGAGCACAAGGGCTGCTGACAAATGGTGAGAGAAAGGCTTTCCCAAGGCTTGGATCTAAAGAAAGCATCTGTTTCAGACACAGAATGGACCCCAGACTGTCCCTGAGTTGAATACAGGTTAGGAAAGAGGTTCTACTGCTTTCTGGGCTTCCTGAATCTAGTACCTACAGAACTCTTACCTCCACAAAAAAGCCTGCAGATGTGAGCTTGTGTTTATCATTCCCTCGGTTAATCAAAGGGACTAACAAGTACATGGTCTTACATGCAAAGACGTGGCTTCTTTCCAGCAAGGCACTGTAAAAGAGACCAACAGAAAACTCTCAGACATATGCCCACCCAGATGGCATTTCCCAGGGTCAGCCCTCCAAAGTTTTAACCTTGCTTTAGGTATTCAGGAAGTATGCCAGGGCCAAAACTTTTAAAATTTTGTCCTGGTTAATTTATAGATACTATAGCTAGGCATGATGGTGCACACCTTTAATCTCAACACTTGGGAGGCAGAGGAAGAAGAACTGCTGTGACTTTGAGGCCAGTCTGGTCTAGAGAGAGAAAGAGTTCCAGGCCAGGGACACAGTGAGACCCTGCTTCAAAAAAATTTACAGCTATTGTATATTCTGTTTCAGTTTTAGTCACTGTGATTTTTTAAAAGGAAAAAAATATAACAATTCTGCTTTCTGGAGAGAATGAATACATTAGAATAAGGAAGTCTTACTTGGCAAGCAGGAATACTCCCTGAAGATGGCATTCTCCCCTCAGAAGGGTCCATCCATCATTCTTTTCCATGATGCTGAATTCCTGCCAGCACAATGTTCTGAGGAGGAGAGTCTTTGTAGCTTGTATGGCGAAGCTAAGTTGAGCAAAAACAAGCATGGGTGGAAAGAATAGGCCTGCTAGTCACTGGGATGGGCCAGTGGCTGTACTGTAATCCATCCCTTTCTAGAGTTCTTAAAGATGCTTCATATTCTAATATCCAGAAAGGCCTTCCATATACATTCTCAGCATAAAGAAATTTAACTTGATTTTGTTTCTCAAGGAGTTTGGCAGGAGATCTATGATTCAGAACTGATTTGGGATGCTAAATGGATATCCATCGCATTAAAAAAAACATTAATTTTCTGAGTCTGAGTTAGCCTGCATTTCTGTGCACCACATGCAGTGCCCATGGAGGTCAGAAGAGAAGGTGTTGATCCTCTAGAACTGGAGTTACAGACGGTTATGAGCTGTCATGTAGAAATGAACCTGGATCCTCTACAAGACCAGCAGCAAGTGCCCTTAACCTCTAAACGATCTCTCCAGCCTAATCTATTGATTTAAAAAAAAAAACTGAGGTAAAATTTAAGGCTAGGTATTTGGCTCAGTTGGTAGAACGTCTGCCTAGCATGCTCTAAGCTCTGGTTTGATCACCATCACTTCAGAAACCAGACATGGTGGGACATGCCTGGACCTCCAGCATTTAGGAGCTAGGAATCAGTAGTTCAAGGTCATCCTAAACTACAAAGTGAGTTTGAGGCTGACTTGCAGGACATGAATCCGAGATTCAAAAAGAAAAAGGAAAAAGATGCAATTTATACTTCCCCATAAAATTTACCAGCGCAACTTACAAAGTACTTCTTGAGTAGCCATTCCAGACACAGCTTCAAGCATGGTAGAGCTGGAAAGGTTCCCGGAGATAACCCGCTCCAGTCTCCTCAGTTACAGAAGAGGAAACTAAGGCACAGAACCGTGCATTGGTCCAGGGTGGCAGCTCATTAAACAGATGCATGAGAACTACACCTGGGACAAACTGACACTTAGCCTGGCCCTAAACTCCCATGGTATGGCATTTCCTCCCTAGAGATCTGTGTGTCAGCGGCGCTAGAAATGTCTACAAAGACCTTATTGAGGAACTGAAAAACCTCTCCAAGCAATATCCCAGAAATAAGGAATTATTTCACTGGATCAATCCAGTTTGGGAGGCTGGTTTACTGGTTTTGTCTCTACTTGCTCTGTCAAGGAAGGGGCAGCACAATATCACATGTTATCTGCCAGGCACCTAGATAGTTAAACACTGATACCAAGAAAACCAAAGGCAGCAAATAAAAGCCAGAGGGATCCTCAGCATTTTACTGTAAGGATTGGGGACCAGTGTTCACGCACGGTCAGGACCACATCTATCCTTGTATCTACTCCAGTGCCCAGGACTCTGTAAGTGTTCAGATCAATGAAATCACAATGAGCAATACCACAAAGGTGTGACCTCCGTTGGTATTTCCTGTCCTGCGTACAGGCCACTTGGGATGCTGACATCAGACATGGTGAGGCCAACGCTGTGGTGAATCTGGATGAGCAGTGCCATCAAAAGCTGAGGAAAGAGTCGAAATGCAGCTTCTCGCAGTCTGTTTCCCATAAGCACCTCATAAAGGGCATCTGTTGCCTGTGGTAGAAAAGGCACAGGGAGGAACTGAGAGCCTATTGGTTCTACCACTGTGTCATGACTAGTCCACAGACAGAACAGCAATGGTAATTGTATGAAAGGGAGGATAAGAGTAAAGGGATTGTTGGAAGTGAGCTGGGGCATGCTCACAGTGGAGTACATGCTTAGCAAGGTGTAGATCCTCACTTCAATCTTTAGCACCACATACATATTATATGTATGTGTAGATATACATATTATATGTATGTGTATATATTATATGTGTATATCATGCATACACATACATACACAGAGAGGGGGGAGTATGTGTGTGTGTCCAATGAGCAGACCTGACATCCAAAAATCATAACTGGAAGGTATTAGTACACTTTATTAGATACAACTAAAAACAATGAAATGAAACCACATTACAATCTATCATATTAGATGACAAATAACAATTCAGAAAAGTGTCTATTTTGTATTAATGTGTTAATAAAATGCTCTCATCCTTCAGTAAGACAAATGTAAAGGCCTGCTGCTCAAGGTGCACCCATTGCAACACTGCATCATCGGGGAGCGGTTGAAAATGAGAACGTGAATTCCCTCCCACACCTCCTATATCACAGTCTGCTTTGTGTGACTGAAATATACATGTATTTGCCTTAACTTCTAAAACTGCACTAACATAACATTTTAGATTTTTTTTGAGACTGGGTTCTCTGTATAACAGTCCTGGCTGTCCTGGAACTCACTCTGTACAACAGGCTGGCCTCGAATTTACAGAGATCCTCATGCCTCAGCCTCCTGAGTGCTGGGATTAAAGGTGTGCACCACCACAACCCTCTTACATTTTTGAATTTTTAAAAAGCACACATTCATAAGAAAAGAGAATAAAAGACAATAGCAAATTAGAAATACTGAAAGAAGTTTGGAAGTTTAAAATACTATGACAGTAGCTTGGACTAGACAAAGAGGAACCTAAACAGAGGAGGGGTGGGGATGAGGAGAGAAGCAAAGCCTTCCAGAAGGCCAGGTGGGAAAGGAATTCCAGCACTCTGGGGAGCCAAAGTAGGTTCAAAGTCATCCTTCATTATATCGCTAGTTCAAGGTCAGCCTGGACCTACCTGAGATGCTGTCTCAGAAACGAAAAGCATATGTACCGATAGGAAGCAGTCTCTGCACGGCCAAGGCCAGAGGTCTGCAGCAGCCCTCTGTACTGTCTGGACAGTCTGGCTGTGAGCATAAGACTGCTTTAAAAGTGCTGTTTTCAAAGGAAAACTTGGTGGGAAAACATCAAATACACATGCACAGGTATTTCTAGAAATTTCATTAGGGAGATGAAACAAATTATGAGCTAAGAATGGTTTTCCTTATTTCTTCCTTCCTTCCTTTCTTTTTTGTCTGTATAAGTGTTAGGTTTTGTTGTTTTTTCCTTTTAAAAAAATTGTTGCCCAGACTCTTGGGCTCAAATGATGTTCCTACCTCAGCCTTCTGAGTAGCTGGGATGACAGGCACACAACATTGTCTTGGGTTTAGATTT